AAAGGCGGTTGGGACAGGTTGGTAATTTGAGTCCTAGTCATCGAGCCATTGATGTCATCGATGACAGCTGGACCCCGTTTGCAGCAGGTGCTGGTCCCCACCACCAATAGATTGAAGCAGCCAGCGAAAAAAAGCTGTACTAGAGGAAGATGCTCCTATCACTTTCCGCTATCTAGCAGGCGGAGGGTGGCCTGCCTTCCCCCCCCCAAACCTCCCCCCCCAAAAAAAAAAGCAGAAAGATGTCAGCTGAGATGACACTGACTAGAATCCAATCACTGATCCTCAATCGTTTTATTGCGTATGTCCCAACCTGTCCCAACCTGTCCCAACCTGTCCCAATCTGTCCCAACCTGTCCCAACCTGTCCCAACCGGCTACCAAGCGGGACCTGAGGAGAACTGGACCGCCACATACTCAGTGGGACACCGGGTCCCACGACCCACGTTCCACTTTCCCAGATGTCTCTAGTACCAGGCCTCATGGTCCCATATAGCTACGGGTTGCAGGTTGGCACAACTCACCCCATTGTTTTCACATGGTTTTTACATTGTTTTATACATGGTTTTTATATTCTTTTCACATGGTTTAAATATTGTTTTCACATGGTTTTCATATTGTTTTCACATCGTTTTCATGTTGTTTTCGCATGGTTTTCATGTTGTTTTCACATCCGCATTTTTGTACTTGGGAATGGGGGGGGGAAGAAGCCTCAGACTGTGTCAGCTACCCTGATAACCCAGCTAGAAGCCAAGTCTTAAAAAAAAAAAAAAAAGAAAGACTGTGGAATCTGGGAAGGAAAATACGGCCAAAAAAATAAAATAAAATGCTCTCTTCTACAAGATGTGCATCGGAGAGCAATGCCAAAAAGTCCCCATCACAGTTTTTTTTTTTTTTTTTTTTTTTGTAAATAATGAAAAGTACTTAACGAAACAGAAAAAAGTATTCCATCCAGCGGCCTAGCTCAGTTGGTAAGGCACGCAAGTGGCATTCAGGTGGTCTTGGGTTCAATCCCCATTGGCCTCATGCACCTTCCTGGGCAAGCTTGGCGCCCGCCACCTAGAGATCTGCCGTTGGTCCCCCCAAGTGGCATTGAGCAGAGACTGCTGCTGTTCATAGGGGGAGGGGACCACCACCTGAGGGGAGGCACAGTGACTGGCCCATCGAAGAAGCTACTGTAGGTCCTGATGCTGCCGGCTGACCCCTGGCCGGTATCGCCCACCTGCTGTAGCAGGTATTGCACCTGCTGGTGGGTGCAGCAGCTCCCGCATGTTCCCTCATTGGATGCTTGAGCACGGATGTGGCTGCTACAGGGTTCCCCGTAACACTATAATGACAATAAAAAAAGGCCTGAAAGGCCATCCTGTCCAGATTTGACAGGTAATTGAATTGGTTGGGCTTAAAGAATTAGCCTTAAAAAAAAAAAAAAAAAAAAAAAAAAGATCAGCCAACTTGAACAAAGTAAAGAAACGGAAGAGTACCGAGCCAAAAAAACACGAAGAAATCAGAAAAAAAAAACCCGGCGAAGTACAAAGCACAAAGCTTGAGCTTGAGCTTGGTCTTTCCTGCAGCTTCCCGCCCCCCCCTCCCCCGGGTGCCCTCCCCCGGTCCCCCCCCCGCCCCCCACCCCGCGCTTGTGCTTACTGACGGTGAAGGAAGAAATCTGTTTTCACAATAAACCGAACGGCCACCTTTAAATCTTTTTTTTTTTTTTTTTTAATTTATATATATACAAAATTAAATCATTTTTTTTCTGCCTCTGCTGAAGGAAGAAATCTGTTTTCACAATAAACCGAAATAATGCACTGAGTAGGGCTTCCTTCAAATGAATGTCAGTCTTCATCACACTTCCTCATTCGTCTTCAGCTGCATTATTTCTGATATCCTATTTCCTTTCACTGGTGCTACATACCCCCCAGGCGCGCTATGGTTGTGTGTACTTGTGCGTGCTACCACTGATTGCCTCGCTGCATCTCTCGCCTGCCAGAGAATCCATAGAGCTGGTTCCCCTCTTCACACCTCTGACAATTATAACTGGATTTGGCCCTAAAATTGGTCGAAATGCAGCTATGATCAGCAACGGGGGCGCGCTATGGTTATGTACTTGTGCGTGATACCACTGACTGCCTCGCTGTATCTCTCGCCTGCCAGAGAATCCACAGAGCTGGTTCCCCTCTTGACATCTCTGACAATTATAACTGGTTTTGGCCCGAAAATTGGTCGAAATGCAGCTGTCATCAGCAACGGCATTTATGTTCATGTGTGTGTGTGTGTGTGTGTGTGTGCTGTCTCTTATACACAGAAAAATCATCGTTCCACCCCACCCTAGAGAAATGCTTTTTTGTTTTCACATTTTGCATCTCAAGTGCCTGCTCTTGAAACTCAATTGCAGCCCAGGCAAAATCGCACTTGCGTTCAAGTCACCTCCCGGAGGTGCCTTGAGTTCAAGAGCTACCCTTGGGTTTCAGCCGCGGGTGCAGGGTTTTTTTTTTTTTTTTCCTTTTACGCCCCACGTTCCTGGTTCATGGCATGTCCTTTTTGCGGTCCAGCGAGCAACGGCTACCGGTGGCGGTACCGGGTGCCAGCAGTGGAACTGTTGAGTTTGGTGGCTGCGGCTTCCTGCGGGCCGTTGGGGCACACACGCGTGGTGACCGTTGTAGCGCGCGGTGCATCGTCATCGAGGTGGGAAGATTCAAATCGGTCACGCGCCGCAGCTGCTCGTAGCCGTTTAGACACGGTGTTCTGGGCGAGGGATGTTTTGCCGCAGCAGGTCCACATGGCAGTACAAGACAAGCACGGTTGCTGCAGGTTGCTGCACCGGCGTTCGCACGTGCTTCTGCAAACCTCCGTTGTCGTTTCTTGTCGTGTGCGCTAAGCTGCGACGTGCATGGTGGACCATGCGAGGAAGTTGTTGCTGCTTTGTGTCCTCGTCCTCCTATTGCTGCTCTTGCTCATACTGCACCTGTGGTGTTCGAGGCGTGCAACGGTTGTGCCCCGCAAGCGGAAGCCGACGAGATCGAGCAAGCATCTGGCGTGTAAAGGAGGGATGGGTGTCGGCGACGACGGGGCGAACATGTTCATGTACAGGGTTATGGGGGGTGGCGCGGAGGGGTGTTTTCCATCGGATACACCACGTTACGATCCAGCACTTTATGCACACCTCCCGCCGCATCTTCAGCCCCTTCCCGACGATGAGAATTGGCAACCGCTTCCATCGACATTCGACCTCGCGCACAGCTTCACCCAGTCCATATCGGACAGTGGAGTGTGGGTGAGAGATCAGCGGCCAAGGCAGGGGCCAACGACATCACTTCTGTTCGACGAATTGCACCAGGGAATGTGCCCACCCCTCGATCTGCAGTTGTCTTCGGGAGGTCGCCCTGCCGCTTCACAAACGCTTATCGTCAATCCCGTCAGCCGTTCGGAGGGCGGCGCGTCAGTCGGACAGTCGGCTCGGTGGCCGGGTGCTCCGAGCTTGCAGCCAACAGCCGCACCTGCGAACACCAACATTCATGCAGGTCCGACAGTGACGTGACCGAGGGCGAGGGTTCGGACATCATCGGAGGGTAGGCAAGCCAATGTCATGGACGACATCATCGCCAAGGTGTCCACCATGCGCGCCACGAGTGACGGAGATGGCAGTGGCGGTGGGGGTGCGGACTGTGAAATCTTGGAAGATGCAACAGCAGAGGATGACGACGAAGTCGACGCTGAGGAGCCATAGCCTACGACAAAGGGTCAGAAGAAAATGCCGCCGAGGAAACCAGCTCCGAAGGGGCGGGGGAAGGGGAAGGCCAAGGAAGGGGGTGGCGAGAGCAGCGAGGGAAAGATAATATGGAGTCTGGATGACTTTATCACCCTCGTCCGCTGCAAGAGGGAGCATGACGAAACTCTTGCTGCCTCAGGCCATAACTTTGCGAGGATGAAGACGAAGCAGTGGAAATGGACTGACATCGCGAAAAGGATGGAGGTGTTGGGAGTGACCCGTGAGTGGGATGTGTGCATGAAGAGATGGGAGAATATGTTCTCGTGGTACAAGAAGGTGCAATGGAGGGAGGAGTCCGGGTTGCAGTCGTTCTTCACGCTAACGCCGAAAGAACGAGCCGATAAAGGGTACAAGTTCCAGATGGATCGCCGACTTTACGAGGCAATCCATGCCAGTCAGCACGGTAATCAAACCATCCACCCGCCGAATGTGGTGGACACGGGGGCTTCTTAGCAGCTAGGTGCAAACAACGGCGGCACAAGCAACACTTCGGCGAGTGATAATGGTGATGGGGAGGCCGGTGAAGGCTGCGCGAGCAGGTCGTCAAGCGGGATGAAGTTCACGAAAAGGAAAAATGCAATGCAACAGGCTTTTGAGGCGATGACAAACGTCATGACCACTCACTCAACAGTCGTGGCCGATTCAGTGGACAGGGCCAGCAAACGACAGTGTGACATCCTTCAGCGACAATGCGATATCATGGAGAGGGAGGTGAAAGTGCACGAGACATAGTGCGGCGTGATGGATGCGGGCCAACGGATGTTGTGTGACGCTTTGTTGAAGATCGCGGAGGCGTTGTCACGCCCGTAGGAGGGGCAGCGTTGCAAAGTTGGCATAATCGGGGGCGGACATGCTAGGCCGTTGGAGGTGGGAGTGGGTCGTGGGGGGGGAATTGGGCGGCGAAGTGGTTTCTTTGTGAGGAATCGGGGTAATCACCTTTCGCCCAACCCCGTGGTTTTTGTTCCATCCGTCTGCGGCTGGCCATGCGTCGCGGAGGTTGTTCGACAGTACCGTCTTGCATTCCCGATCGCTGCGTGGGGGGTCTTAAGTAGTAGGAATGACCGAGATCTTCCATGTTGTAAATTATGTCCGTTTTTTTTTTTTCTTCCCTTGCCATGGAATGCATTTTTTCGTTTCTGTGTTCCAATGACACCTCCGTATGGAGCCGTTGAATCACGACTGGTCGACGACGAACAATGACGAAATTGCGCCGGTCTCCTACTGTCCAATTTGCACCTCCCCACTCCCACACATGTGCCACCTTCCGCTGGCCTCTATAACAACGGCCTACATGACGGTTATCACTGTGGTGCGCGGTGGTGGTCGTCGGCAGTGTCATGCCGTGGCCGTTGAAGGCTGTCCACATGTCGGGGGGGGGGGGGGGGGGGGGGGGGGAATGCGGTTTTTGCAAACGGGTCGACAAGGAACATTCCACATCGCCCTTCGATCGACAACCATCTCAGGCGACGGCGATGGACATCGTCATCTGTTGTCGCGGTGTGGTGCTTAACCGCACTGTCATCTTCTACGAGTATCGGCACAGGAGAGGCAACGCGCACGAAAGGGCAATGGAATTCGATCATCATGTCAACCATGAGGACTTTCGGTACTACGAAGCGGACGCCAATGCAGTGACATGTCTTGCGGTGGTCGTAGGGTTCAAATTCGATCGACAGGCACTCGCGAAGTCATCATGCACATCACCAAGGTTAGGACGGTTGTGCCGACCAGGTTCGTTGGCGGAGTGGACGTGTTGCCAGTGTTGGCGGAGATGGTGCGCATGCTAATCACTAATTTCGCCATGGAGTTCCGTGACCGTATGCACCACCCGACCACCTACACGGTGGTCCTTCATGCGCCTTTCGAGCAGAGGGAAGACCTGCATGGGGATATCGACATTTTGAGGGAGGGTATGTTATGACAAACGTCGTCGTTTGCTCTCTTTCTGTTGGGGTGGAGTACTGGTACTTGTCATTCATGAAGTCGGCGACGGACGTGTGAGCGTGTGTAGATTCAAATCCATCGCATGAGCATGTGTAGGAGAGAGAGGGATCTGGATGAGAGAGAGAGAGAGAGAGAAAGAGAGAGAGAGAGAGAGAGAGAGAGAGAGAGAGAGAGAGANTGTGTGTGTGTGTGTGTGTGTGTGTGTGAGAGAGAGAGAGAGAGAGAGAGAGAGAGAGAGAGAGAGAGAGAGAGAGAGAGAGAGAGAGATCTGGAAGTGACTCCGGAGCAGCCGCAGATTTATGTGAATCAACGATGAAAAATATACAGACCGAACTAGAGAGAGAGAGTGAGAGAGATCTGGAAGTGACTCCGGAGCAGCCGCAGATTTATGTGAATCAACGATGAAAAATATACAGACCGAACTACCGTCTTTACCCGAATAGAACGTCCGCCGGCGGTCATTATAGCCGTATTTGGTGCAGTTTTCAGTCTAGATACAGCGATAATGACCGGGCGCGTTCTATTCGGGTGAAGACGGTAGTGCAGGTGACCACTGAATAGCTGTTCGTAACGAGAAGCCGATAGCGGAGCCCTAAATTTTGAGGGGTTTTTTCATGGTCTTTATAACAAAACTCCCACACCTTTGGACCCCAAAGTTATCAGGAAACCACAGTCTGAGAGTGCACAACAATTAAGTTTAACAATAAACCAACAGCGGAAAAAAAAAAAACGAAAAAAAAACAACAACGTACAAACAAAGGTTGCCTAAAACCCCAAGGCAAAAGTGTGTTTTCATGCAAAATGCACCCTAAGCTTTACGGCCTTTACAGTTTTTCAGGGTTTTCAGGATTTTTTTCCCTGATTTTCAGAAATTTCAGGATTTCCTTCGGTTACAAAAGCAGTCGTAGCGGAAGTTCCAAACAAACACCAAAATTGGCACATACAAACCTCGACCAAAAACAAAATAGGGCAAAAAAAAAGAAAAAAATCTCAAATGGCCATTTCAATGCTTGAGGGGGTTATCCTATGGACTAAAAAGTGGGGGTCCCTGTTAACCCCTCTAAGACTTGGCGAAAGGAGCCGTTAACGGACCCCTAAATTTTAAGGGTTGTTTAGCGGTCTTAATAGCAAAACTCCCAGGGCGGGAAACAAAAATAATAATAACAATACTTGGCTACCAGCCGGGCCGCCGGGTTCCTGGGGACCTTGTCCCACCTCTTCTGTTGACCTAGGTCCACGTTTAGTTTTCGTCGCCGTGTGACTGTAGGCGACGAAGGAGATGCACGCCCTCGCCATCATCCAACGGTCCACTGTTTTCTTTATTGTGAATGCATTTTATCGCGTTTTTTTTTCCAACTAAACAGACCCAAAAATGACGATTTCTTGAATGCAACGCCCCCTACCCTCGCCACTTTCCGTTGAGCTAGTTTTGGAGACGGCCAGTTCAATGACCGTTGGCGTCCTTTCTGTATTTTATTTTTTTTAATGTTATTTTATTATGTTTTGAGAAATTTGTGAAGTCGCGTGTACTTTGCTATTTTCCTGCGACTTTTGAAGGACCCAATATGCGTGAACTATGGGCAATTTGGTGCGACCTTTGAAGGACCACATATGCATCAACTACGCGAATAGGGCAACTCTTCATAGGATCGGAGCAATTCTTTGGCCGTCACGTATGCCACTCCAATTGTGGGAAAAAAAAGAAGAATGAATTGTATCTTAGGCGGATTTTTTAATGCATTTCTGAATTTGAAATGAATTAAAAAAAACAGTTTCAGCCACCACACCGTTGAGCTATGTCCACTAAACGGTGCATGTGGGACAAGGTCCCGGGTGGCCAGCCGTGCAAGGACCAAAAAAGGTCCCAGCCAAAAAAAATCCAAAAAAGAGAAAAAACTATGTTATGCAGAGAAATAAACTGAACAACTTTTGCCTCAGGGTCGCACTTCCCTCTCTGCCTACGGTTTACCGGGCATTTCTATTTGACGATATATACTGTTTGTGACGATATATATATATTTTATTATTATTATTTTTAATCTAGGCTACCAGCCGGGCCACCCGGGTCCCGGGTGGCCAGCCCGTGCAAGGACCAAGGAAGATCCCAGCAAAAAAAAAAAATAAAAAAAATACGAAAAATACGAAAAAAAAACTATGTCATGCAGAAAAATAAACTGAACAACCTTTGCCTCAGGGTCACATCGAAATTCTTCAACAAATTTAGAATAAAACATAAATTTTAAAAATATTTTTTTAATTTTTTATGATTATTTTTTGGCCCGGCCGGGCAAGTGACCCTGGGCCACTCTGGTAGCCTAGTTTTTAATGTTTTTTTCTTTTTTAGCCCGGCCGGGCAAGTGACCTCGGGCCACTCTGGTAGCCTAATAATAATAATAATAATAATAATAATAATAATAATAATAATAATAACTAAACTGGCACTGATGCCCCCCAGAATAGAAGGGGACGGGGAGAATTGAAAAAAAAACAAGAAAAAACTGAAAGGAAGTATCCTTAAAAACTAGCCTTTTCAGTGCTTGGGAGGTTTTAACTTAGAGGTGGACCCCACTGCTTTGCGGCAAAGCTTTGGAAGAAGACTTGTGAAACCCCACTGCTTTGCGGCAAAGCTTTGGAAAATGCTCTGATATGACATGGCGGACGTTTTCACTCAGTTTTGTTTTGCCTTTCGGCCATTCTGAGGGGTAAGGGGGGGGCCACCTCCATCGGTTTGTCCATCCCATGTGGAAAGGAGAGCCAGGGATTGGGTGAGAACCTAGACAAGCGGATGTGAAGTTTCCATATAGGGAAAGTTTTCCCTATCGGGTAACCGACACCAACGGAACTGCCAAAAATTTGTGCTGCAGTGGGGTCCCCTTTTCTCTTTCCCATCACCGGGGCCTACGATTTGAGTTTGACGGAAGTTTTCCGCCTGGAAAGCTTCCGCCAGGCAGTGGGGTCCACCTCTTAACCTATGGGCTGAAAAGTTGGGGTGCCTGTTAACCGTTATGACACGAACAGGAAGAAAAAAAGAGAAAACAAAAAAGAAAGAAAAACTGAAAAGAATTAATATCTCGAAAGGGCCCAAATACTACCCTTTTCAGTGCTTGGGGGGTTAACCTATGGGCTGAAAAGTGGGGGTGCCTGTTAATCATGATGACAGTGGGATGTCCCTCGGGACATCCCGTTAAAACTGGAATGATACAGAGAAAGAAGATTAGCATCGGCTCTGCACGAGGATGACATGCATAAATCGAGAAGTGGTCCAAAAAAAATAAAATAAATAAAAAATGATGACAGTGGGACGTGGGAACAGTCCCTGGTGGTTGCCCATGGAACCCCCCATGCAACCATGCTGTGATCGAACTTAGCCACACTGAGGGCATACTCACACTAGCTAAGGATTTTTTTTTATTTTTTCTCTCTCTCTCTCTTTTGAATGGGCAACGGCCTTTAGATATGATCATTGAACTGACCGGCCCCAGTGCAAGGAATATGAGCGAGAGTTATAGACAGAAATCCAAATTGCATAATCACGAAGTAGTCCAGATAGTCATGTACCAGGCAGAGAGTGCAGTGCACCAAGATACCATCCAAATAAGAGCTATACAATGAACTCAAGCCTCAATGCCGATGCTCTCTGGCCACACCAACGTAGTTACTGTATCCAATGTCGCTCCTACTGTCTGGCGACCAGCGCCCAGCCCACACTACTCAGCCTACCTAGCGTATCTACGTTCATCCAACAGGAGCACATCGAAGTTGAAGACCAACGTACATGACGTCACCACCAATGCAGACCGCCAGCATACACCAGGTACGTTCTCTCCTCCCCTCATCACACCCTGTCTCCCCACTGCATGCGCCTCCTACCTGAAAGACCACCATCACCATCACCAGCCACCGCACGCGCAGCCCGGCTCTGGCGGCCGTGTGCCAGCTGCCACCGCAGCCGCGTCTCACCTCTAAGCGCCCATGTGCGCCCCAGCCTGCCAGCGCTAAGCAGCGCTCACGAGACACAGCAGCAGCGTGGCCGCTATGCCGTGGGAGGCCAGAATGCCTCAGGTTGGGGCTGTCACTTTCCTTGATGGAAAGTGCGGCTTGCTTCGGCCTCTGCTTGGCCTGCCGGGCTGGGCCCCAGTAGCTTCACGTTGGGCCAAAGTGTATGCGCCCTGGGCCCTTCAGACAGTTACAAGGGCCTGCAGCGTCCAGTGCCCCTGTCGTCCAGGCTCCAAGTGTTTCCTGCGATCTCATTGGCGCGCGGCATGTGTGTGACGACGGTGCTGCTTTCTCATTGGTCCGTGGCCGCTACGTGACTTTTCGGCTTCTCGATGCCTGTGCCCAGGGCCCCAACTGAATGAGCCCTGAGCTCAACCGTACGACCCAGCTGCTGCTTCTTGAAGGAGCCAACAAGGCTCACGTTGCTCTGTAACTAACTGGCATGCGGCAACTGTCTGATCCCCGACATACGGAAAATGTCCAAAATAGGCCTCACGTGGATATTCAGGCCTGCCTTCACTTAGGGCGGGCAAAAGGCTTTCTAGGGGCCTGAGCCCAGAACGTTTGCATGCCTGAGAAGGGCCTTTACGGGGGGCTCAGTCCTCGTATTCCATCCCCCTTAGCTTCAAGAGTCCGCTGAGATACTTCTATGCAGGTGCCTACAGGCTTGGGAACAGGCAAGTCTCTATGTTCCAAGATGTCGTCGACGGCCACATGGCCATCCATGGTTGGGGGCAGCATTGATCTCCTTGATGGGAACTGCTCGGTCTCAGCGAAAGGTGAAAGCTTGG